GCATCACATGCATTTTCCGATGGTTCAATACTTGCTGACTGCGACTTTGCAACTTCATTATCAGTTTCTACGAATTTAACAGTCTCATTTTTACTTCCTTCCACTTCTATTTCAGGCACTTGGGAGTCAAAAGCTTTTTTTTTTTCTCGTCTTTTATTTCTTCATGTTTTCGTTCTTTTTGTTTAATCCCGTTAGATGTTTAATCCTTCATTTCTTGATTTTTTTATTCTTCAGATGCCACTAATGTGATGTCCACATCTTCTTTTATGACTCCAGTTTCTTCTGAAAGCTCCCCTTTCATCTGTTGGAGTTGCTCTCGCACCTTTCTTGGCCGGCTTTCATCTCTTCTCGGCCGGCCTTCATCTCTTCTGATCCGGCTTTTATCTCAGCTGTCATCTCTTCATATCCAGCTTTTATCTCATCATATCCGGCTTTTATCTGAGCCGGTCTGGCTTTTATTTCAGCCTTCATCTCTGCTTTAACTGAGCTGACGGCCCCTTCCAGCTTTTCTTGGAATGCAGCAGTCACGAGCTGTCTTAATCGTTCTTCCATCGCTATTGTCACTGGCATTCACTCTCAAACCCTCTTCTGACGCCAGTTGTTACGTTTTTCTTATATGTACTGGAAAGTTCGTGGATTTGGAGTGAATAACAACACTTGATGAAGCATCGAAATGCAATCATTAGCCAGTGTTAATCAGAACAGCTCCAAAATCACGTTTACAGTCTTCGAAGAATTACTATAAACACGCTGAAATAATCAGCGATACAGCCTTCAGACTGTCAGCTTCACGGCAAGGCAGCAGAGTACAGCTCCAGACTCGGTTCGGTCGTTCTCGGAACTCTACGTGCTCTCGAGACTCTCCACTCTAAAACTCGTAATGCACTCGAAGATACACTAGAGCACAGCTCCAGACTCGGTTCGGTCGTTCTCGGAGATCAACACACTCTAAGATAAAACTCGGCGATGCGCTTACTCGCGATACACTAAGCAAAGAACATGTACGTACAGAAGGAAAGGTTTCATAGACGTAATGTAAACCAGTTTTCTATTACGCCGCTGAAAAGAGGAGGGAAAATTCGCCAAGGATTCCTCTTCCTGGTGGCGAGAAATTCCTCTTCCGTGATGTGTACAGGAAATTGAGGAACACGTGTTAAGAAGATATGCTCTTTGACTTTTCGCAATAATTTAAACTCGGATTTTCGCAATTATTTTTGCTCAGAATAACTAATCCATTAATTAATTTACTTGCGCGAAAAAGTATTTTCTTTTCCTTTAAAGTTTAAAGAAATTTAACACGATATGTTTGTAGCGGAGAAGTTTACCTTCTTAATAATACATAATCTTTGACACTAAGAGACTCTTGATACACTACGAGATACTTCAAGTGACTTTGACGAGACACATTAGACTGATGATCAATTCGCTAGACTAGGCACTAACTGACTTACCGTATCCGTACCCGTATCCTTATCCTGGTAACTGGTATTCAGTCCTGATAAGGACTTTTACCAGTATAAGTTACATACCCTGATGAGAGATACCTGATAGGAAAAATACTCCAGAAGCATAGAGCTTCTATAATGGAGAAAGCATCTCCTAAGTGCTGTAAAAAGGTCCGTGAAGCTGAGAGGGCGATAATTAAGCGGCAAAGCAAGACGTGGAAGATAAGCAGTTGGCATAGTTGAAAGCAAAATTTTGAGAAGAGCGAAAATTAGAAGTAGGCATACTTGTAAATACTGTAGAAATAATAATTGGCAATAGATAATGGCAATAGATAAGCACTAGATGAACAATTAAGAATGACGTGAAGAGCCTGAGTAGAGCGACGTTGCGTCTTCCTTGACATGATGTGGCTGAATAAAGTCTAAGGGCGGTGTCTGAGACTGGTCAGACGCGCGGTGAAATCTGATTCGTCGAGCACAACACGTGATATATACAATTTTTGTGATTCGTAGGCCAGTCCATAATTTTAAAAAGAGTCCTTCTGATAAAGGGAATCACATTAAATAATAATAACAAAATCTTGGTTAAATGATGATTAAATAGTATATAATAATTATTTACATATGTACATTACCATTTTTCGTTATGAAAAACGGTACGTGGGCGTTTGTGTCGTTAAATCAGAGTTTCGCCGTAATTTTGAAAGGTTAGCTATTGTTGAATCCTGACGTTTGTTGCATTTAGTGAAGAAATTATGGCTGTGGCGAGGTAACTCGCTGTCAATAGGTTTTATTTTTAAATCTATGTAAATAGTTCTGTTTCTTATAAACCAGGAGGCATTTGTGGTAATTCGGAGCATCTTATTTTGTATTTACGGACTTCCCGCATACCAGCAGGTTTTATATAGCTTTTGGCTTGCGTCCGAGAACATTCTGGGCTGAACCAGTAAGAAGTCGTTCCAGAAGTTTCTCCATCCGTCTATGGCATATCGCCAAACATGCAACCCTGCCTTCCCTTGCCATTTTCTGGCAAACCTAAGCCCGCCTTACGGCGAAGCTGTCTTACCGCGGTTGGACATTTCGTAACAATAATGATAATAATCCAGTAATATTCAAAAGATATCCGAATACTTTGAGCACCGTAATTACTGTATGCTAATCTAATACGCTACAGAGGCACACTGCAAAATAATACAATATGGTACATAGAAGAATTCGAAAATAACGTAGTGTTATATAAATTTATGAACATAGCACCTTATTATGTATTATTCATTTTGTACAACACTATTATGCATGATGTATTTTGTGCAACATTATTATGTATCATGCTAAAAAATTTGAAAAAAATCTGTTTACTAGATTTAATGTTTTATTATTTTTTGTATTATTATTCTTTTTGATTTCACAAATACAAACACGTTTTCAAAATCAAAATTACACATTCCGATAGCACAAAAGTTCGATTTTAATTAATGGGTTGGCTGCGCTGGATGTATTGACACAATTTTTTAGTATTTGGCATAAAATTACTTAATTTAATTCTTAAATCCCCTGGTTCAAAAGTATTCATCCTGTTTCTTGTTTTCAGTAGGAAATTATTGACCTGACTAAATCGTGTTCTACTAGGTAAGAATATAGAAACATCAATAACGTTGTTTCTGTTTATTTTGGATATTTATCTCGGATGACTTTTGGATTCCCAAACTTTGCTTACACATGTATTTTGAATAAGACTTGAAAATCTTTCTTCAATACAATTGACTTTTCACGTATTATAGTATCAAGTTCAAATAATCGCAAAAATGCTGGCATATTCAAATTTACAATGTCTTGGAAGCGAACATTAAAATCTTCTTTTAAATTTCGCAAGCGCCTTTTATATAACAACATATCTTTTGAGGAAATTTTGATTTCTTTGCAGCATTTTCGTAGTGATTTCGTGTATTCCTGCGTTTGGCTTTTTTGTAACCCACTTATTGCATAAAAAATGTACATATTTTTTAAATGTATTACTGATTTTTTAAATATATTAATTAATTTTTGTTCATTTTCTCTTATATTTATTTTATAGGATTTCTTTCTTACTACATGATATAGCTTTATATCAAAAATAATTAATCATCAAGTATATCAAAAGGTTTTTGTAATCAACGAAATCTCTAATATGCCAATCGGTTACCCAAGTTTATTGGGCTATCATTCCCCAGTTGAATCTTGATCGGAATTGACCCCTTTTCAAATTTCATCGACCCCCTCCCTCTCTAGTCGGTCAATACTGATCCCACCGGGAACCCAGGTTTAAACCAAAGTTCTCATCTGAGAAGAGAGGAATTTCAAGCTTTCGAGAAGGGAAGTTATGTTTCCTCCGATGAAATTGAATAAATTGTTGACTCAAATCTTTTGTCAAAATCAAAGCAGGCTACGTTTCATGTATAAAACTTTTTCCAAAGGTGCTAAGCTTTAAGTCAATATTAGTTTCAAATATTTTAAATATGAAACATATATTTCACATTATAGTGCCTTTAAATAGATAACTTAATTAACTGCATTCAGCTGTATTCGTGACAAAGTTGAAGCCTACAGAGAAAAACTTGCTAATTATATCTGATTTATTATTCGAGAGTTTTGCCGTTTAGACAGAAAAGTTGATACTACTGCTACCGAAGGAAAGTCCTCATGTCATTAAGTGACCATGAAAGATGTCTTAACCTGATAACACTTTATATGACTAAGATTGAAAGCATATATCATTTACAAAAGTAAAGTACTGAAATCATCAGAAGCGATATTTATCCAAAGGGGATATACAAAACTTAATGCTATTTTTCTACTGAAAATTATTTTTTTATGTGGAATTTTTACCATCAAAATTTTTCTAATTTACATCTTATCTCTTTCAGAAAATCATCTAAATTAATAAATTTGAAAATAATTAATGTTCATATATAATTTTCCCCTGCATGTCTTGAAATTATGCACAAAGGCCTAATCAGATAAAGCAATAATTTTTTCACCTCTTCGATGTACTAGAATCCCTATCCAATTTTACTTTCCTGAAGTACGAAAATTCAAAACACTTCTACGTGCGGTTTCAGTCACGGTCTATTTTGAGCCCAGTGACCATACATGCCCAAAGCACAGATTTGCATAATGTGTTTAGTTGAAAATAAACGACACTGACCGCATTAGATTCTACGTTCTACAATCAGAAAGAAAAACCTTAATTGCAATTCTTCTTATATTTACAGAAATAAAAGGAAAAATTCTTTATCGAATTATCTTCGAATTTCACGTGGGAAGTTTGGCCAGTAAATTAAGATTTACTGGTCCAGAAAGTTGAAAGCTTTCAAAGCTTTACGAAAAGAAGTACATTTCTTATTTTACGAACCATTCATCCGACAATAACTATTAGTTTTTAATAAATATATAAAACGATAAACGTGAATTAGCTGTTATTTTTTTATCTTATTCGATTCGTTTAAAAGAGCTGGTTAAAGAAGCAGGTAGTGGGAGTTACCAGACCTATAAAAGACATAAGAACTCTAACTTTCTTCTCTTCAATTGGAAATTTTATAAAGTAGCAAGCCTCAGCTACAGAATAGTATATCTCAAAGATGATGCCTCGATGTTTGATTCTTACAATAATTAGCGCCTCTGTTATATTTCTATTTTATACTGAATCTACTGAAGGTATAAGATTATGCGGTAAACAATTAGCGGATTTTCTCAATTATATTTGTAGAGAACGTGGTGGATTTCAGGATCCTTTGCATAAAAGAACAGGTAAGTATAATTGCTTAATTAAAATTCACAGACTGTAAAATTTTATGAAATTACATGACTAAATTTCTTACTTAAGATTACCTTTTCAATTAAATATTAGTTAATATTTAAACACCATCTTTATCTATAACTTTCGTTATTTCTACTTATTAAAGAATTATTTTTGTAGCTTCTACTAGATATAGTTCTGCGTAAACTCAAGATTTGAGCATTTTCGTGTTCTAAATCCGAATAAAAGGAGTATTTTAAACGATAAATTTACAAAGCAAATATTTCCAGCATTTTTAAAGCAAAGTGTTTTAATTCACAAAATATTGTTTTGCAGTGTTTTATTGCAAATCGTATTAAGACTTCAAATAAAATTGAATTGTTAAAAAAATAATAACACTTATATTCCTAATTAAAAAATTGGCTCACCAGCGGCCGACCGGTGAAGAAGCTGAACACTGGTAGTTCGGTACGAGATTCGAATCCCGCAAACGAGCCGGCTGCATGGGCGTTTTCGTGGTTTTCCCCATGTGTAACGTGTATACGAGCCAGTTTTCCTTAGAAAGTCTTCCACGAAGGCATCCCTCCCTTTAGGCAGATAGCCCTCGTGTGCTTTGCCATAATTGAATAATCCAGTCCAATCCAATTCTAATTAAAAATCATTCATTTGTAATTAAATTCGTTTTTAATTTATTCTAGATCTGAATTTTCTGAAAAAAAAAAGTAAATGATGCAACAGATTTCTTGTGAATATTAGAATATTTGTAAGTAATGAATTAGCACCGAATTTCAACAGCACCCTTATAAACAGCATTTAAGGATAAGTATATAATTTATAATGGATAATCACACCTTCAAATTAATTCTTAGAAAATATTACTGGTACACGTTAATGCTATTTTAAATATAGATGGATTTCTTTTATACATTTAGTTAAAAAGATTGTCTCAATTTTAAGTTAGGTTGAAAAATTATTATCAAGATAATTCAATTGATTTATTCCTTATTAACATAGATTTCTAAAATTTTATTAATGTTATGAAAAGGACACAATATTGAACTGGTTCTATTGCGCAAGATTCTCTTGGATATACATGATGCAAATGCAAAAATTGTAATATATTTACGGAATTGTTAATTTATTAGAATCACGAACTGAAAATATTCTTTAAGCAGGGTTTTGGTTACGTGGTGAGAACTTCTTTAGGCATATTGAAGTTTTGAAGGTGCTTTACTTAGCATGCATTCCTGGTGTAGTGGTCAGCACGCTCGGCGCGTATTCGAGAGGTCCGTGGTTCGAGTCCCGGCGAGAGCATTACTTATTCTTCATCTCCCCTGCTTTCAAAAATACCTAATGTCTCTACAGTTGTGCCCGAACTAAAAGGCGGTGGATGACGATTCTCCACCGCCAGGATTTGACGATTGGTTCCCCTAATCCCCGGTTTTAACCTTGAGTTTAAACCCTGAGTTTGATGCTCGATTCCTCTTCATATTAAATCTTAACAACATTAACTTCATATTAAATCTTAACAACATTAACTTCATATTAAATCTTAACAACATCTTCATATTAAATCTTAACAACATAATCTTAACTTCATATTAAATCTTAACACTTATTGACAACATATCTTTGGTCATACCTGACAACATATCAATCTGTTTGACCTGACAACATATCAACATATCTGAAAATACTTAAGTAATTTTATTTCATTAGTATTACACATTCCCAAAATACTTCACATTTATCTTATGCTATTATTGTGGGTAGACATTAAAGACAGTATTCAACTGCGATGTAGTACTAAAGGCCTAATTAATCTTCAAACAATGTCCACTAACGTTTCGAAAAGTGTGCCACAAAATTTCTTACCTAAATATTAGAAAAATGGTTATTAATTACGAATTATGTCTTCAAGAAGACCATTGCTTTTGATTTCTGATTTCGAGTTACGTATTTCAAATCATAATTAATATTACTATCAAGCTGATTTATCATATAAGAACATAAACGTCTAATCCAAATATCTAAGAACTCACAAACACAAAAGACACAAAATTAAGCTTCAAGATATTAAACTAATTTTATTGATATAACTGCAATCGTTTACAATGCGTTAGGTGATTGATACGATATAAATTTTCAATTGTGTAATACAATACAAAAACTTTTATATTATAGCTTCAGTATTTATCATAGTTGTAAGTCAAGTTCCTTACCAGTAACAATTTTGAAAGTTATGAATCTCTGATACCTTAAATTAAAATGCATGCTTGGAGATAATGAACAATTTTTCTTTTATCTAGCTGTGTCCTTTGCACTCAATAGGGCGAGTTCTAAAACAAGGAATACTCGGTTTTCTTCTCAGCCTGATCAGGAAGCGTCAGAATTTGCTGAGTCTGATCTCAGCAGCCCCTCAGATATGAATTCAGGTATCGCGAGTGAGTGCTGCAGAAAACCGTGCACTCTTTCCATAATGGTGTCATATTGTGCAAGAAATGAAGTCTTAGAAAATACTAGCTTGGACAGCATACTAGCATCCCTACCGAAGAGCTCTCAAGATTTAGTACAGCTTGAAAACCAACATGCAGAAGTCAAGGTAATGAAATTCTTTTAACCTTAGAACTTTGAAATTCATGCTATGACATTAATTTTTAAATAGTTTTCTGATTGGAAATGAATAAAACTTTTCGAAGTTAGTATACTTTGTTAACATACACTGACACTTTAACTTTCTGTCTTTCATCGTGGTGACAAAAAGTGCTAACATACCAAGCATACCTTGCAATTAAATGCTATATTGTACCAAAATAAGTTCTTTGAAGCCTACATCTGTAAATAAGGGCCATTAAGTTCACAAATCTTTAGAATTATAGTAATTCAAATGTGAGAAATAAAATCCTCAGGTAAGGCTCTTTTAGAATATATGTATTTTTAACCGTACCGTTTTTGAGACATCATCCTTCAGAAGTGATTCTAAATTTTTTCAAAAAGTCCTAAAATTCCCATTATTAATTCATAATTTCCATATTATTATTATAAAAATCGAAGAGGGTATTTAAATGCAAAATTAGAAGTGATGTGATTCTAAATTTTTTCAAAAAGTCCTAAAATTCCCATTATTAATTCATAATTTCCATATTATTATTATAAAAGTCGAAGAGGGTATTTAAATGCAAAATTACGACATAATAAACCAAGGCACTAACATGCATCAGATAATCTAGACTAGTTCAGTGCAAGAATGCATATAAAGTAATTTGTCATAGTCCCCTTTTCTTAAGGGAAGTACCTGTAAATATCACAGTATACACTGGTGTGCAAAAATTAAGGACGAGACGGTTTTTTCAATATAACTTTCCACAAAAGCTTTCCAAATTAACACATTTAATACCGTAAGATCTCCAATACGTAAGGACATGAGTAATGTAAGCAACCCTTACTAAAAGAGAAATCAGAGGGATAAAAAGAAGCTTTATTGAAAACGTAGCATGGAGCGCAATGCGACTGAAGGCCGAAACATCCCTGTGATGGGTGTCCAGCAAGAAACATCCGGTCTTTAATAGGCGATATGATCTCCCCTGACTGCTAGGCAGGTTTACAGCGTCTGCCCATGCTGAGAATGAGGGTGTCAATGAGTTGTTGAGGCATTGCTGCCCATTCGTCTTGCAGCGCCAATCGAAGCTCCGGAATCATTACTGGTGGTAAGGTACGAGCTGCCAAGCGTCTGCCTAGAAAATCCCATACATGCTCGATGGGATTGAGATCCGGAGATCGTGCCGGCCAATCCATGCGTTCAATATCCTCACTCTCTAAGAGCTGTTCGGCAGCTACTGTGCGATGACATGGTGCATTGTCGTCCATGAAAAGGAACTGCGGACCCATAGCGCCTCTAAAAAGACGCACATATGGAAGAAGAATCTCGTTACAATAACGGGTCCCGTTGACTGAACCTGCGTCGAAGATGTGAAGGTCTGTACGACTACCAAGCATGATGCCTCCCCAAACGAAAACACCGCCACCTCCATACCTGTCCCTTTCAATGATGTTCGAGGGATTGCGGCTTCCCCGCTCTCTCTCCAGATGAGTATGCGATGAGAATCGCTACTCAGACTGAATCTTCTGCTCTCATCTGTAAAGAGTACTCGTCCCCATTCATTGTCTCTCCAATTCCGGTGTTCCCGGCACCACAGAGAACGCCTTCTCCGATGGGCAGGCGTTAGAGGTACACACCGTACAGGGCGTCGTGCAAACAGACCACCACCCGTGCAGTCTTCTGGCCACGGTAAACGCGATATCGGTCGTCCAGTCGCCTGTGTCGTGTGTCTAGCGATTTCTCCCGCTGTCTGCCGCCTGTTTCTTCTGGCCTGTAAGGCAATATACCGGTCATCTGCGGGTGTGGTTCCTCGTGGACGACTAGTACTAAACCCCCGGATAGCTGTTCCTGTAGTTTGAAATTGTCTCCAAAGTCGTGAAACGATGCTGTGAGCAATTCCGAACTCTGCAGCCACACTTGTCACACTGCGGCCTTCCTCCAACTTCCCAATGATTCGACCTCGGGTAAAAGCATCCAGATGTCGTCTAACAAATTGATTATTCGCTATTTCTTGCTGAGGGGGCAACTCGGTGTGATTTTAACTGCTATACGGCGTGCAATCTCTTTGCCCGAAATACTGATCTTACACCGACAACATGCTTTATACTATTTTACGTCTACCTGCGCATGTGCTACCGTACATCACCTTACTTAATCTCTTGGTGGGTCTTTCTGTCCGCTCTGCCTCTTCGTTCAGCTGATATGCTAATTTTTCGACTTCGTCCTTAATTTTTGCAGACCAGTGTATTGCTTTAATTTGGTAAAGCCTGAACGAGGAGTACAAAGATTTTTTCGTACAGGATCGTATGTGGAGTACAAAGATCTTTCTATAATTGCCTTTAATGTTTCTTCCATTTTTACACGGAATAAATTTTCTTCATTCTCTTTAGAACTAATTCAGTTCTTATTAAACTCAATATATCTAACTCAGAAAAGCCTGATTAGCACCCTTCCTACCAAATTTGCGAGTCATTTTGCTAAAACTCTCTTAGCATTTGAATGAAAACACAAAATATCTTCAAAAGATTTTTAATTTAACTCTCATTTGGGCGATATTTCATTTCATTTAACAACTCTTGACTTGAATTGCCTGAAACATATTCTAAAGTTTTTAACTAAGTCAACTGCCAGTTATGGTAAAAGGGATAAAGAAAATGTAACCGCTTTATCTAAAAACCATCCGATCACTAATCAAACAATTCAGTAAATCCAAATTCCTAACAAACTTCATACAAGTAGTTAAGTGATATGAAGAAAGGAATTCAGACTTCTAAAGATTGTAACCAAATATTAAGATCAAGTAACTGATAAAAGATTCTAGAGTCCATGTTTGAGTAAACGGACTAGAGGAACCCTAATATTATCCCGTATAAAAAGTTACGAATACTTTAATGCTATTATATATCAAAACTATTGCACTAACAGAACTTTGATAATTTGGTTTTACAGAGAAAATATGTTTTGGAATTTATTCAGGATAACGAAAAGAAATTCTAATGCCGTTGCATAAAATCTAAATTCACTATTTTTTGATTTATAAATATATCTTTTTATACTTTTATCATTGCAGGAATAATATTTTCGCCCCACACGTTTTTCTTCACTTACCTTGTATTTTGCAAAACTGGGTTGTAGAATTCCAATACAAGAAATTAATTTTGAATCTACTTAACTCACTTCCTTAATTGACGTAGTAGTTTAATTTGTAATTCAGTTTATTTTTAAAGCTTTTAATGTTTCCAATATGCACATATGCATTGTGTACGAACTTCTAATTTTATAGGTATTGCTTTATCTGTATCAAATTTTCTTTCTACAATGTTTCTCTCTTACTTAACCTTAATTTATTTTCATTTAATACATAGGATTCAGTATTTAGCTGCGCGGACGTAATTTTAACATACATTACAGTATACTTAGATTAGTTTACATTTACCTTAATATTCAGCAGTACGCAGTTTACCTAAAAACTGCAGATAGTTTTGTTTTATGTTGTAAGGAATGTTTTCCGAAGTAACAAGTCCTAGACGGTTTTCATTAGTAAATGTTTCTTTTGTATTTTCAGTACCTAGTTAGAATAAATTCTTTTCAATAATGTACCCAGTCTGTAGTAAGAATGGGATGTCATCGTGCATACATAAGATGTGAATGAAGCTATTTTAGTAAAGTTCAGATGTTTGATATTAAAAGTATTAAATCAATAATCTTTGCAGAAGAGAATGTAATGCTGATAATGTAAAAGATACGAGGCGCTTTTTTCCAGAATTCAGAGGACAGCTTATTGCAGGTAGATAGTTTTCTGCATATGCATAAAATATTGTAGCCTAAGTTTACTTTAAAAAGCTATGCAACTTGAAAACGGAACAAATACAAATAAAAGACACTTAGGTACAAAATGTATGCAGTACCACTGATTATACGTAAGATTTAAATTGCTCTTCTATTGTAATTCCTTTCTATCTTTACTTCTTTTAGGCAGCAATTTTAACTACGCAAGAGGCTATGCATCCGGAAGAAGGAAATAGTCCAGCTGAAAGTAATCAGCCAAATCTTGGAATGTTTCAGAGAAATAGGCCGGTATTCATAATTGTATCTCAAACGCAAGATGCCAGTTTTACAGATAATGATCCTGAAGACTATAATTCGTAAAAATAAGAATTAAGAACAATATTCACCAAAGATGGATACAAATATACACTGCTCAACTAAAAGGCTATTTTATTTTTCTAAATCTGTAAATGAAAATTGTACTTATGAATCATTTAAAACTTTTATTTCTATTGAGCTATGTAAAAGATTTAACTGTTAACATTTCTGTAGATATATAAAATAATGCTGAGACCAAAAATTTCCATTCTATTATTAATCGTTTGAAAATGCGAGCACACTTTCCCATTTCTGTCATTTAAAAGGAAGTAATGTGAATTGAAATTTATTTTATTAAGTAATGTTTTGTACTCAAATGAAACCATAATTTTTAGGCATCATATGCTTTACAATGGGATATATAATGGCAGACAACAAACAAAAAAATGGCTAGTTCACACTTTAACATTGACAATTAACACGATGAGCTGAGCTTCAAAAACTAATGTACCTTTAGAATTTTTAACGTTAAAATATTTTTCTTTCACACCACTGTTGAAGTAGAATATTTTTTATTTGTACTGCAAAGAATTTCATTTATTACAGAGAAATTACCGAGCCAAACTCTTCTCATATTTGATTTTTTATAGAAATGGTTATATTGTTTAAGTGTGGTTAAGTAATGAATTATTATTAATTATTAATAATTAATTAATACTCATAATTATTAATTCGATGAACTAGTATTATTAAATCAATGCTAGTACATTGAACGACTTCATCAGAGAAGTTATTTAAAAAAAATTCGAAATGCAAAACATTTTCCAGAGCTATAAAAAATTAACAGAAAAAAATAACTTTCATAAATACATTATGCGTTCGTGAACTTGTCAGTATGAAGTGAAGAAAACTGCACAGTGAGACTAATCCCAGTTAAACTCTCCCCCTTTGTAAGCAAGAGTATAAATAAAAAAGGAAGCCCTTCTTTCTCAAATTTCTGAAATATTATGAGTCGGCCACGAAATGAATTCAGAGTTATTATCATAACAACTTAGTTATATTAATAATAAACAGAAAAGAGGATTGTGGTATCGTATTTAAATTAGGTTTTCAAGGACACAAAAGAAAAGTATCTTGGGAAATTAGATATCAAACATAGTATTAACATATCTCTTCGTTATTTAACTTGTTTCATCTTGAATTAATGGAATACCATTGAACAACATTTAAAGCAACAATAAAGATTTTTGCATTACTCTAAAAGGACAGTCATATGTGATGAGATAAGAAAGAAAGTTCCATTTTATGGCGAGAGACATACATGCGAACGTGTGACAAGAGAAGCGAGTAGCAGAAGAATAGAAAATGAAATATAAAAAGCAAGTTTTCTTTAATATGTTACTTATTTAATACATACATTCGTGTGCAAGATTTAGGACGCTAATTTTAAAAACCTCTTTCATTTTCAGAATATTAAAAGACATTTCTGTACTTTCAAATGATAAGTATCATAGATGAGCCGTTATATTTCATCCCTAGTACAAAAGTGAATATATTTCAGGACTTAACACAGTAGCGAATCAGGCATACCTATGGCAAAAGTTAATGCATGTATGCGATAAGAGTTCAATCCGTATTTTTTAACAATTTATGTCATATTGCGAAAACATTCTATAATCTATTATGTTATTATACATTTCAGTCTAGATATTTCAAATTCCTGAAGAAATAAAAGTAAGTAAGGGCAAGAAATAACTTGCCTTTAGAGCAAAGAACATAACACCCGTGCAGGAATAATTAACCAACTAAAATTCATCACACTCTATCATGCTCTAACCTATTCTATCACACTTAACAGTTATGTTACGTTCGTAGTTTGAAACAAAGCATCCTATCACTTTGTTAGTAAAATTCAGATTTTCAATTCCAGTTGTAAAATAATTGGTTTAATCCTAGTATCCGGTGCACACGGGATTTGGCGACTTTATGATGAGCAGTAAAAACGGGACAAACGATGAGTAGTAAACGGGTCATTCAAAGAATATATATAGTTATATATAGTATATATTATGTATTTAGCTCTAGTGTAGAATTGGGTGCCCCTTCGATTAGCGACAATTTTTTGTAAAATTTGGCGATGATGAAATCGTATTTCTGGTACCATGATAGTGTAACTGCTTTGCTTTAGCATCCTGATTTTTTTTAAAAAATAAAAATAGATTTTGATGGTACATGGACAAATTTAAACAGTGCGCAATGCCTAGTTTGTGCAATTCTGGGATGTTTTTTTAAGTGAAAACAGATCGATGTGTACATGGAGACACAGTTTATGCAATTCTTTGACTTTTTATTTTGGTTTTGTGTAGCGGCCATCTTGAAATTGTGTCTTCCTGACGCCGATCTTGCCGTCAAAAAAGAATCTCCAAAAAACAAGGGGAACCCAATTGTAAACTTTTACCATGTATTTACACACATAGTGTATAGTCAAAGAATCTTTGGTATAGTATATAGACGTTCTTTGGATCATTTTTGGTGTTGGCGATAATTTTCAAAATCGCGCATTTTCAAAGTCGCGCCAAGGCTGCACCGTAAACTAGGATTTTACCAAATAATTTATTGATACATTCTACTGCTTGCATTCGGCAGCCTTAAAAAAACTAACAAAAGGGAAAATGATGTTAGTAGGGTTACATTTCAGACTACAGCCTGGTTTATTTAAAGTGAAAAAAAAAAGATTAAGAGGCAACGGATCATATTAAAAACCAGATTTCACATCTTAAATCATAAAGGGCAAATAGGATAAAATTCAAACATCCTAACAGTTTTACACCAGGTTCGATTCCCAGTGGAGCGGCTTAGTAGCGTAGCTTTTCTAGTTTTATTACATCGAAAGTAAATATGAAAAATATTCCTTTAGCGAGTGTTACACGAAGGAGAAGCAAGTAATATGCCAGATGAATAACCTAACTTGTTATATTTATAAGGTTTCACTTGGTTTGGATTCTGAAACTTAAAGTCGTACATCCTTACTAGACAGGTAAGTAGTTATCGCCATGCCTGAAAATAGTATAACAGAGACTTGCAAAGGTATAAAAAAACCTTTTAATTAAATTGGATTTTTGACACGGCGTGTGCTACAGATAACCACCACTTGTGGCGACTGCAATTTAAAAAATAACCATCAAATAAATTTAAACGTTGATCGGTAGTCTAAGACTAAGCAGTTAAATAACTAAGATTCAAGCTGGCTCAAATAATTTACAACATGTAAGTTTAAAATATTGGCTGCAAGAAAACGTAAAGTCAAAATAATTACATTTAGGTAGAGTTGGCAGAACTCTAATAAAGCTAAAGGAGTGGCAGAAACTCTCACTCTCTTCTAGATCCCAAACCCTCAGTTTAAATACACTTCCAGCTAATTTGCATTTTGATGATTAATACGGAATGAAGAAGTTAAAGTAAATATCAATATCACAGCAACTGTTTATTTTAACATAAGAAACTTACATATTAATACTACTCTGCTACGTTAAGATTAATTAATACTGTGCCTAAGGTATTTTGAAATGAAAGAGCAGAAAGCAAATATTTTTTTTAAATATTGTTACTTTCACACACAGTGTGTTCCATAACGATAGAGCTATTCTAAAACTGTCTTACACTGAATCAAAAATCCTAATAAGCCACGAATAAAAGCATGGATAAAGTAGAAAAGTTTTCACAAAATTCCCCCTAAAACTTGGACTCAGTTAATAAGATTATTAGTTTTACTTTATTTTTTTTTTCAGAATGTTCGCCTAGAATGATAGCTATACTTGAGTAAAATATTTCATTATGAAATTTTACTGGCATTTATCCAATAGTTTGGATATATGAGATTTGAAAAACATTAATGATGCAAGAGCAACAAAACCTGATTAATTATATGGGAATAAATTCTCAGTTTGGGGTTCATCAATTGTCCTGATGTTGGTTCTAATTATTTTAACTATGTTTACTAATTATGTTTATGGCTTTTCCTGGGACAAATAAAAATAGTACCTTTTGTTGTTGAGTTTACTTCAAATGAGAAAGACGTCTGCCAAGTTAACGACTTATTAAAAGTTTAATATTCTCCAGACATAAAGGTCTCTAAATCTGAAGAACACTGAATTTTGAAAAATGTAAAAAATGGGAAAACAACCGTGAGGGGAGGGGGAAATGACAATTAGAGTATTGCCCTACTCTGACCATGCTTCACCAGTGGAAACTCATTTTCTGAAGAGACACCAATTCAAGTGTCTGGTAACTATCTAAATTCAACTTTCAAGCAATTTCGTCCTATTTTGAGTTTATGGTATATATTTAACAAAATTAAGTCTTTTTTATGCGGTTTGAGCACATATTGGCAACATTTTATTTTCTAATGAAAAATAATTGTAGTCTTTTTAAACAGGAGGATACACAGATTTATATTTTATGGCGGGGAAACATATAACTTGACAAAAACTTATAAATGGTAATCCAATTAGTATGCAAGGAACGTAATGGGAATAATTAACAAACCTATAAGTACTTCGAATATCAGTGTATTTCGATAAAAATTTAAGGAATTTCACTGTTCTAGTGGGATTAATATTCTCCGCATCCCATGTTAAATCAAACTAAAATTTAAATTTTGAAAAGAATATAAAATTTAAAATTATTTTCATAGTTTTATTGCAAGCCTAAATATAGATAGATAGATAAACAGATAGATATAAACAAGCGTTTAGAAATTTAAAATTAGAATTATTAATTATTAAAGGTCGTGCAAAATGCTGCGAAATTAATTAAATATCAAGACATAACAATTAAATCAAAAATGGTAGTAAACTGATGGAAGGAATGCAAATCAAAATTGAAAGTAATTAAAAATTAAAAGCAATTAAAGTAAGTAAAAAGTAATTAAAATGTAAAGTAAAATTTATATAATTTAAAGCAAAAAAAAATTTTAATCAGTCATCAAGGTATATTCTGCTCAGACGTGGCCCTAAACAAATTACAACAGAAAAAAAAAAATTAAACAGTATAAAATTAGAGTATTCGAAATTAGAAACCAGAAAAACGTGGGTAAATTAAAAGCAATTTGGTAAATTAATAGTCCCTTGATAAATGTTTAACTTAAGAAATGGCGAAACTTTAAAAATAACTGCTGCAAAACAAAAGTAAAATTTAAAGGATTGCATTACTTAATTATGGCAAAGCACAACAAGGGCTATCTGCCTAAAGGGAGGGATGCCT